GCACCCTTTGTAAGCTTATCTTAGGAGTGGTTGGCAACGCATGCCCAACTCGCTCGCTACCAACTCGCTGTATACTCATTTGTATGTATATATATATGCTTTGCATCTTTTGACAGCTGTATTATTACAATTTTATTTCCTCGCTTATACAGACGCAACTGCAGTGCTCGTGCGCGAAATATTTTACTAAATCTATTAAACCTCCACATTTTTGTACACTCGCATAATAGAAGCCTGAAATTTTAATAAATCTATTGTTCAAACACAAAGTGAATCCAAGTTGTGCAAATTGTTAATTTTCTCAGGCAAGCCAACGCGTACCAAATCGATATTCCCCGTCACCCCGGATATACGGTCTGGTGTAAATTCGCGATATATAATAGTGAATCCTTAACGGCAGAATTCGCGATATATAGCGAATCCCTAAGGCAGCACGCTGTGCTACTAAACAATTAAGTGCCTATAGCGCAGCATTAAGCACTGGTACTTCGCTGGTTAATGCAACCTCAGCATCCCGCCTGGAACGTCGAAGTGTAAGTGCATTTCCACGCCACCACCTCCGGAGCCGTCGGCACCACAGGGCCGCCCGCACCGATTGACCATTCCCAGCTATTTCAACGTCCGCAGTCGTCAACCGCCAGCACCCCACGTATCATAAGGAAGCCACCGTCACCACCTACTCCGTGCCATTTGAAGAAGGAAGAGAACCCGACGCCATTTGGTCCTTCTGCGCCAGCAGACCCCGAACCAGCAGCAAGTATTAGAAAAAGTCCCTTTGTAAACCGTAAGTAAGCCTATTATTTCTTAGTGCTACATACTTATTCCCACGGTAACTACACTATACAAACATACATATATCGCATTAAAGTACTTCAAAAAAAAAGTAACCTAAAATTCGTAAAAATCTTGGGCGCCTTTTTTCCAAAAAAAAACGGCATCCTCAGTCCGTTAAAGAATTTTTTAGAACTTCGTGCATATATATGTATATAGTTTTCGAGTAAATAAGTACCGAAAGCCAATATCCCGTATATCGAAAATACATACATATATGCATGTACATATGTACTGATTTCTCTTCCCGCCTATTTGAACATATTTTCCCGCTCAATCGTTTTCAGACATACAGTCCACACATATATATACATATCTACTTACAAGTACATAGGCAATTTTCTATTCCCTCTCCTCCCACATTCGCTTTTACTAAATCAAATATAACTTCTGATTGATATTTATGTATACAAACTTAAATTCCTCACAACGTTTGCTCGTAATAATACATAAATTCTAAACATTTCTCAGCAGTTGTTTAAAATAAAAGTTTCGATTTCACGACAACAAAGGTGCACAAGTGAGATAATATTACAAAGCGACATATAAACACACATATATAAACACATAGGCATACTTATATACACACAATCCCATACATATCTACATATAAAAAGTGCGATACAGTGGTCGGTTTGCAGTGCAATAAAGTTAATAAATAAAAGCTGACGGCGCTTATATACAAATACCATAGTTACAGTCCCGTGAATTAAATTTGCATTTCACCAAAAGTAATTAAAGCGCATTCTCGTTCTTCTACTGTGTAGTCTCTTATATATACATAAAATTGTGGTTACAGTCGCGTGAAAAACAAAAAAAAAATAAAAACTTGCATCTACATAAACTAAAATTTTCTCGTACTCTTTCATTCGTTGAGCAAGTTTCTCGAAATAACTCTATTCTCAAAAACGGGTAAATAAATAAATTAGTCAATAAATTAAATCTCTATTTTTCTCTAATTCGCGGCCGAGCACTGACATAATCGCAAAACTGACACATTTAATTATTTACTCACTCATATTATATCACTGTATATTTACTTCTCTGGCATTCCTTTAAAAAGGAATTGCATTAAATTCTCTGGCATTCCTTTAAAAAGGAATTGCATTGAATTCTCTGGCATTCCCTTAAAAAGGAATTGCATTAAATTCTCTGGCATTCCTGTAAGAGGAATCGCATTTACTTAAAAAAAAAAAAAATATTTCATTCTTGTAGTATTCTCGAGTTCCTTGCATCTCCCTCAGGCATCCCTCTCTCTCAGTCTCTCAACCCCAGTCCTTTCAGACTAAATTATAAATTTTCTCGGGGCTTAACGAAGAATCCCAAATTCCCAAAATGAGTGATGAAGAGAAAATCGTTGCGATCGAAACTCAACGCTCTGCCCGCTCAAGCGGGAAAACTTCAAAAAAACAAAGGCAATTGGCCTCCGTTAAGTTTATTGCAGAGACTGATAATTTAGTCGATTACTGTTCAAGATTCAAATCCCTACCTCTCGAAAATAACTCAGAATCAAGCCTGAAAATAAAAGATACGAGTTTAGACAATTTTTGGAATCGAGTTCAAAACTCTTATGATGTAGTTGTAGAGGCAGACGAGCAAGACCTTCCCGAAGATTTCAAAGCAGGTGCTTTTCGCAAATATCGGTCTTGTCTCGATCAATATGAAGACACTAAAGCTCAAATCGCTGACCAGCTCCATCTTCAAAAGCAAGTGAGCACTCCCATGCCTACTCCCTCTTCATCACAACCCAAACGCCAGTCTGGCCTCGGCTTAACCGTCCCTCCTTGTGACACCGAAGTATTTTACGGAAGTTATGAACAATGGCCCTCTTTCCGGGATATGTTCACAGCGGTATACATAAATCACCCTGAACTCACCCAAGGCCAAAAGTTGTACCATCTCAGGTACAAAACTCAAGGTAAAGCCAATCAAATAGTAAAGCAATTCTCTCTCTGTGATGAAAGCTTTAATCTCGCATGGGAAGCACTTCGGTCTCGATATGAGAATAAGCGTATTTTGGTAGACAACCAAATACGAATCTTAATGAACCTCAAACCCATTCCCACCGAAAGCAGCGAAGACATACAAAGGCTGCAGTCTTCTGTAAACAACTGCCTTCAAATTCTCGCAACTCAGCAAGTCTCAACCGAGAATTGGGACCCCATCCTCATCTATATAGTCACCTCTAAGCTTCCCGAAACCACAGTATCCCTGTGGGAACAATCCCTCAGCTCGAGGAAAGACCTCCCCAACTGGTCCCAAATAAACCAGTTTCTCACTACTCGTTATGAAGTGGCCGAAAGAGTTGACCAATGGCGCCTGCCGAAGGCGAGACCTCCTGTTCAGCCCACTAGCTCTTCAAAGCCGCCTTTCTCTTATAACAAACCACCTTTTAAACCCCCTCACTCTCAAAACTTTCAAAACAGATCGATGTCACAAATACAATCTCACGTGACAGAGCAGCGAATAATGCACAAATGTTCGATGTGTAAGACCTCCTCTCATTCGCTGTGGAACTGCTTCAAATTCCGAAAGTTGTCAATCTCTGATCGCAAGAAGTTCGTAAGAGAAAATAATATGTGCTTCAATTGTCTATCCCAGTCACACTTGTTGAAAGATTGCCCTAGCACACAAACTTGTAGCCATTGTAATGAACGTCACAACTCAGTGCTCCATGAAGCCACAAACTCCATGCCGAAAAGGCAACCCCCAAGAGTGCAAAAAACCAACTCACAAGTGGCAACCACAACCTCCACAAACTTAAGTGCCCAAACTTCAACTCAAACAGACGCTGACAAACAAGAAGCCTCGGGTACGCAGGTACAATCATTCTACTCAGAGCATGAGAGCAGAATACTCCTACCTACAGCTATGGTACCGGTATCACACCGAGGAGAAATATTTAAACTCAGAGCTCTTATAGATCAGGGGTCAGAACGAAGCTTTATCTCCACCAAAGCTCAAAATAAGCTAGGGCTGCCCTGCAAATCCTCAAAATTTGAAATCTCGGGCATGGGTGGAAGAGTTGTTCAAACTTCGAACAAATTATGCTCTTTAGTCTTGGTTTCCGCCGATCTCCAAACTAAAATAAATGCTCAAGCTATCGTGTTACCACAGCTGACAAAAATGCTCCCCAAGTTCCCACTTAATCATGACCACAAAGAAAAATGGTCTCATCTGAAACTGGCAGATCCAAACTGCCACTCCCCAGCCCAGATTGACCTCGTGTTAGGCAGTGATATCATCCCTCAAATAATCGAGGAGGGCATTGAAAAAATCTCACCAGCTCTGCTAGCTCAAAAGACAATATTTGGTTGGATACTTAGTGGTCAGATTTACGAAAACATAGCTTCATACTCTACACAAATAGAGGAAATTTCTAATGAGCACCTCAACTCACAATTGCGTCGGTTTTGGGAACTAGAAGAAGTTCCAAACCTCAAGCATACCACCCCTGAAGACGACTTTTGCGAAGATTTCTATAAATCCACCACTTCTCGCAACTCTGATGGTCGTTATGTGGTCAGGCTTCCGTTCAAGCCAAGTTTCCCCAAAGAAATCTCTTTAGGTTACTCTCGCTCCTCAGCGCTTCAGCAATTTCTCGGAATGGAGAGAAACCTCCGCAAAAAGGGCGATTTAAAGGCCTCATATGATAATGTCCTGGAAGAATATCTCACCCTAAACCACATGGAAAAAACTATGTCCCAAGAAAAACTCCTCTCAGGCAAGTACATGTCGTTCTATCTCCCTCACCATGCGGTCATTAAGCCCGAAAAGCGAACGACAAAGGTACGAGTTGTCTTTAATGCATCAAAGATTTCGGGATCCGGTTACTCTCTTAACGATGTATTATACACCGGACCAACTCTCCAGCCTGATTTGATGCTTCTCATCCTCAAGTGGCGAATGTATAAATTTGTATTTAATGGTGATGTCGAAAAGATGTACCGACAAATACTGCTACATCCCGAAGACCAGGACTTTCAAAGAATAATCTTTCGTTCACCCACAACCAGTCCCATTCAAGATTATAAATTAAAAACGGTCACATTCGGTGTAAACT